GTACCAGGCCTGCACCATGGCTGGGCCAGGCTGCCACAAGCAACCGCACCTGCACAATGGCCAAGGCCCAGACCACTGACCCTGTACCTACTACCCAATTCTTAAGACTTACCATAAAGATACAATAATCAAGACAGTGTGGTATTAGTAAACAGATAAATATATAGATCAATGGAACAGAATAAAGAGTCCAGAAACAGACTTACACAAACATGACCAACTAATGCTTTACAAAGATGCCAAGGAAAGTCAGTAGAAAATAAGTCTTTTTGGCCATCTTGGAGTCTGTGGAGGCCTGCTGGGAACAGGACTCCTATAACACCAAATAATGTCTGGAAGGCTGTGGTCCAAGGCCATTTTTGCAGGCTATAAGCGGGGTCTCCGGAACCAGAGGGAGCACACAGCTCTTCTTAAAATCGAAGGTGTTTATGCTCGAGATGAAACGGAATTCTATCTAGGCAAGAGATGTGCTTATGTGTACAAAGCAAAGAACAATACAGTGACTCCTGGTGGCAAACCAAACAAAACCAGAGTAATCTGGGGAAAAGTAACTCATGCTCATGGAAACAGTGGCATGGTTCGTGCCAAATTCTGAAGCAACCTTCCTGCTAAAGCCAGTGGCCACAGAATCCGTGTGATGCTGTACCCCTCAGGGATTTAAATTTAATGAAAAGTAAATAAATAAAGGTGTAGATTTGTTCTCTTGTATTTTTGTTTAAAAAAAAAAGAAGTCTTTTTAACAAATGGTGTTGGAACAACTGGACATCCATATGCAAAGAACAGAGACATTGACATAAACCTCACTCCTTAAACAAAAACTACATTAAAATTAATCCTAGATCTAAATGTAAAGCATGTAACTATAAAGCTTTTAGAGGGAAATAACAAGAGAAAATCTTCAAAGGACTGTATGCCAAAAATAGTCAACTGTATTACATGTTAGTTAAAAAATAAAGTTTTAGGGGTGCCTGGCTGGCTCAGTTGGTAGAGCATGCAACTCTTGATTTCAGGGTTATGAGTTCAAGCCCCACATTGGGCACAGAGATTACTTTAAAAAATTAAATTAAATTAAATGAATTTTTAAAAGACCTTAACATTAAAGAAGAGCAGAAATTCAGTACAATAGTATACGGACTCATACAGAGCTCTTTACTACCATTTGATGAAGAAAGAAAATAGATGAAATAAAGACTATTACCATACATAAATGATATTTTATGACAGCTCTGAGGAACATAAAAATATACAACACATTTACTTTCATCCCTTTGATGTAAAGAAGAAACAGATTACTGAAGCAATGATTAAAATGATGCCAGTTTAATTATTTCTATGACTGATGGTTCTATGAAACTGAGCTCTAAATACACAAGCCAGCAAAAGGCTAAAACTTGTAAATAATCAAATGGGGAGATTCCGAATGATTTTGGTAACAGCTTTATTGAGATATAATTGATGTTCAACAAACTACATATATTTAAAGTAATATGATTAGTTTTGATATATGTATATACCTACAAAATCACCACAATCAAGCTAATGGAACTCAGTGATCATGCCAAAAAATTCCGTCATGCCACTTTGTAATCCATCCCTCCCCCTTCCCCTCTACCCTCAGATCCCAGAGCATTAATGATCTCCTTTATGTCACTATAGGTAAGTGTACATTTTTCAGAAGTTTATATGGCTTCTTTAGCTTGGCAGGATTATTTTAAGATTCTTCCATATTATTGGGTGTATTAATAGTTCTTTCCTTTTTATTGCTAGTAGTATTCCAATGGATAGACAGCAAACTGTTTATCCATTCATCTAGCTGATGGATATTTCAGTTGTTCCTAGTTTTGGGCTATTACAAATAAAATGTCTTCGAATATTTGCATACAACTCAGTGTGGACATATGCTTTCATTTCTCTTGGCTAACTACCTAGGAGTAAAAATGGCTGGGTCACATGGCAGGTTTATGTTTAACATTTTAACAAACTGCCAAATTTTGTTTTCCAGAGTGGTTGCTCCACTTACATTCCTCTCAGCAATATATGAGAGATGCAGCTGCTCCACATCTTAGTCAACACTTGGTATGGTCACTCTTTTTAATTTTAGGCATCCTTGTGGGGGTGTAGTAGTATATTATTTCAGTTTTAATTTGCTTTTGCCTAATAACTAAAGATACATGTTTATTTACCATACAGATATCTTATTTCATAAAATGTCTATTTAAACAATTCTGCCCACTTTTAAACTGAGTTGTCTTATTTTTGAGTTTTAAGAGTTCTTTGTAAACGAAATACAAGTCTTTTGCAAATACTTTCTCCCAGTCTGTATGTCTTGCCCTTCATTTTTGTAACAGTGTCTTTTGAAGAGCAAAGTTTTAAATTTTGATCAAATCCGAATTATTGATTTTTTTCTTTTATACTTGATGTTTTTTAATATCCTATTACAAGAAATCTTTGCCAAACTCAAAGTCAATAAAATTATCTCCTATGTTTTATTCCAGTTTTAAAGACTTAGGTTTTAATAGTGATTCTAAGGGGCATATGCACCCCAATGTTCATAGCAGTAATGTCCACAATAGCCAAAATATGGAAAAGAGCCCAGATGTCCATCCAGCGATGAATGGATAAAGAAGGTGTGGTATATATTATTACTCAGCTATCAAAAAAATGAATTCTTACCATTTGCAACGACGTGGATGGAACTAGAGGGTATTATGCTAAACAAAGTAAGTCAATCAGAGAAAGACAAATATATGATTTCATGCATATGTGGAATTGATTTCAGGGTTATGAGTTCAAGCCCCACATTGGGCACAGAGATTACTTTAAAAAATTAAATTAAAATTTAAATTTAAATTAAAATCTCTCAAAGAGAGAGAGACAAATCATAAGAGACTCTTAACTATAGGAAACAAACTGGGGGTTGCTGAAGGGGAGGGAGGTGGGGAGATGGGGTAAGTGGGTGATGGGCATTAAGGAGTGCACTTGATATAATGAGCACTGGGTATTATATGCAACCAATGGATCACTGAACTCTACATCTGAAACTAATAATATACTACCTGTTAATTGATTTTAAATAAAATAAAAGACTTCAGTTTTACCTTTAAATCTAATATACACTTAGAGTTAATTTTTATAAATTGTGCAAGGATTAAATCAGTTTTTTTATATATAGATATCTGTTACAGCACCATTTGTTGAAGATGATCCTTTTCCTCACAGAATTGCCTTGAAATCTTTGTCAAAAGTAACTGATCATATATTTCTACTATTTCATCTATTTCTACTGCCTTTATTCTGTTCCATTGATCTGTATGTCTAACTTTACACCAACATCACAATGTTTGATTCATTATAATTTTATTAAGTCTTAAAATCAGGTAGTTTAAATTTTCAAAACTGTTTTAGCTACCCCAGTTCCTATGTATTTTCATATAAATTATACCTGATTGTCAATTACTGTTGAAAAAATAAAAGGGCCTAGAAATACTTTTGTTGAAATTGTACTGAATCCATAGATCTATTTAAGAATTCACATCCAGGGGTGCCTGGGTGGCTCAGTCCGTTAATTGCCTTCGGCTCAGGTCATGATCCCAGGGTCCTGGGATGGAGCTCCACGTCAGTCTGACTCCCTGCTCACTGGGGAGTCTGCTTCTCCCTCTCCCTCTGCCCCTCCCCCGCTCATGCTCTTGCTCTCTCTCTCAAAAATAAAATCTTTAAAAAAAAAAAAAAAAGAATTCACATCCATACAACATTCAGTCTTCCAGTCCATGACCATGATGCAGCTCTCCATTTATTTATGTCTTCTTTAATTTCTCTCAAAAATACATCATAGTTTTCAGGGTATAGGTCTTGCAAATTTTTTGTCATATTTAGCCCTAAAAATTCCAAATTTTTGATACCCATGTAAATGACTTTTTAATTTCAATTTCCTATTGTTTGTTGCTAGTATATAGAAAGTTAATTATTATACTGATTTTGCATCCTGCAACCTTGCTAAACTTGTTAATTCTAGTAGCTCTTAAGTATATTCCTAAAGTTTGCACATAATTAATCATGTCATCTTTGAATAAAAACAGCTTTACTTCTTCATTTTTAAACTGTGTGCATTTTTATTTCTTTTTGTTGACTTATCATACTGGCTAAAACCAGGATCAGCAAACTATGGCCTGCACACCAAATCTTTGCCACTGCTTTTTGTGTATAGCCTATAAACCAAGAATAGTTTTCACATTTTTAAGTGTTTAAAAGAAAATTAAAGAATACTATTTCATGGCACATGAAAATTATATGAAATTCAAATTTCAATGTCCATAAATAAAGCTTCATTGGAACAGAGCCATTCATTCATTTACATGTATTTATGGCTACTTTCCACAGCAGCAGAGACCATATGGCTCCCAAGGCCTAAAATATTTACCATTTGGCCCTTAATAAAAAACTTTGCTGACCCCTGGGGTAGAATCTCCAGTACAATGTTAAGCAAAAGAAGTAAAAACAGACATCCCCTCCTTGTTAATACTCAATCCCTCATAATTTGTAGGAAGAAGAAATTTAAGCCATGGATAAAAAAGCAGCTACTTGATTTATAGTGAAAGCAGGAACACTTACTCAAGGCTCATTTAACATTTCTTTTCCACATGCATGAACCGTTTGTAGATTAATATAGGACAAAATCATCTTTACTGTTAATCTTGACTTTAATAAAACAATAGCATGATATGTAAAATATGTATCAAGCCAATTGGTAGTAAGTATACAATAGATGATAGGAAGTATATAGCTTATGATAAAACTTTTTTCAAAAAGGGAAGGAAAAAAACAATTTTCTACTAATTTTTTTTTACTAAAAAGCTACCACTGCTTTTTATCCAGAGGAGTATGTTCAGGAAAACCACTATAAAATCATCACTTTATATACTTAAATATATATAAATATATTTACACATATTTATATATTTTTTTATATATGACTAATCTATTTCAATAAAAAAATAACATACCCATAATAAAAGACAGCCATAAGCATACAAGTCAGAACTTGGAGAAGCAGGCTTTCCCATTTTCAGTTCAGGTGATATCAAACTCAAGTCACCGATTACCATGTTCACTGAGGCTCGCTGACTCTACAAAAACAGTAAGTTAAATATTTTAGAGGCAATACAGATGAGGTAGCTTCTGTGAAGTCCTCTGCATTTAATCAACACAAAAAACATTCATTTGAAATATTTTGTTCTCTCTTGCTTTCAAATATTTTTACCCAATATCTGCTATTACAAATTGCTCTTAAAATCAGTCTCATAAAATTAACAGTGAGACTTTGGTTACATTTCACATTACAGCCTCAAGTAGATTCAAAACCAAGAAACACCGATTATTTAAACATTTGGAACCTCTTTTAAAAATAAAGTTCATAAAGGCAAGAAGGAGTGCTATTTTCTAATTTTGAAAATTCTAAATAGCTTTTTTAAAAACTGGAAGTCTACAAAGTACTTTCCTTCTTTATTGATTATTTTCTAAGTATACCATTTCTTATGTGTCAAAAGATGTTCAGTGATAAGAACATGATAAGTCCATGTCTGGACTCAGACAGACCTTGGCGGCAATTCCCACACTCCCACTTACTTGCTGTGTGACCTTGGGCTTTTACCTCTTCGAGCCTAAATTAACTGTAAAATGGAAATAATATCTATCTTACAGAGTTACTGTAAAGATAAAGATAATTAGCACAATAATTACCTAGTACATATCACTAAGAGTTAATTATCTCTTCTCCTCCCACTACCTCTATCCTTGCTTCTTATAGCATAGTCAAAAGTCCTGTAGCTAAGGCATAACCTGAGACCTTGTTAGAAATGCAGACTCTTGCCCAGAAATTTGCATATTAACAAGATCCCAGGTGATTCATATGCACTGTAAAGTCTGAAAAGCAATGATCGTGACAACAGACTATCTTTCAAATTTTTCTTCCTGATTAATACTTCAATCTGAGAGCAGTAAGAAAAGAGTGGAGCAAAGGTGAGTTTAATAAGTATTTCAGAGTAAGTAATTTTAAATGAAGATTAAAACGATGTTTTGGGAGGGGCGCCTGGGTGGCTCAATTGTTAAGCGTCTGCCTTCGGCTCAGGTCGATCACCACATATGGCTCCCTGCTCAGCGGGAAGCCTGCTTCTCCCTCTCCCACTCCCCTTGCTTGTGTTCCCTCTCTCACTGTGTCTCTCTCTGTCAAATAAATAAATAAAATCTT